CAGTATTCATATGTCACATTACCTTCAAACAGAATAGTGGCAACAATACTGTATGTACCTTAGGTGAGTTTTAAGAGAAATGTACTCCATAAAAGTTTGCAGGAGCAACTTCATTCTGGCTGAGGCAACTCTGGCTCAGACAACTTATTTCCCTTCTCAGAGTTGGTGCTCCATAAGGGAGCAGGAACTGGGGAGATGTCCCTTCTAATTCTCAGATCTGGGTGCCAGCAGCAAGACAATACTACTTAGATAAAGATAGTTGGATTGGCCTTTAAAAAAGAAAATAGTATGGAAATATACCATATAAGGGTCTTGTGCAAAGTTTGAAAATGTTGGATGGCGATCAGTTTTTTTGTCTTTTTTTCAGAGTACAGAGTCATGTTTTTGATGGGGGAAAAAAGAAGTTCATTCTTATTGATCTAACAGAATTTAGAAGCTTAAACACATAAATGTTTTCCTTTCCTTGAAATGGCTACATGAAAGTTCTAGCTATATTAGAAGTGCTTACATCATAATTTAATGCAAGTGTCCAGAGAGCTAAGGAGTAAACAAGCAGCCTTCGTAATGAACTGATGAATTGAGGCTGAGGTCAGCTGGAGGGAGGGAAAGAAAGAAAAGTCTGTAGACGAAGCAGCTGTAGCACAGGGGAGAAGGTCACACCAGCATTCTGTAATGTTATTGCAGCGTGGATGGGGGAGAATTTCTTCTAAGGTGAGGATGGCAAACAGTGTGTCAACACTTTCCTGGTGAAGCGTTAGCCAACCGGAGAATCATTTCCACGCTCAGGCACCAGGGCCGAGAGGAGCAAGGATGAGCAGAACAACCCGGTTTTAAAATGATCCGTTTAGACCTTCATAGAAGGAAAGACTGTTTGAAGGGATTAATTTATAACAGCCTGGGGGAAAACAGAACTGAAGAGTGCCTAGAGTCAAGGCAGGTTCTGTCCTAAAAAGGTATAGATTTGGAAAATGCAGAGGCGCTGGAAGTGCTGAGCACAGCGGGGCATAAACCCTTTTTCTGTATCCAGTTGCTCTCGAAAAGGCCTCTACCCTCTCCTTTTCATCCACTCAGCAGCCACATGGCTCAGCACACACTGTGCAGGGGCCTCAGGATTGAAAAACCCGTAAGGCTCCATCTTGAATCTCTGAATTCATGTATGGAGTCCACCGGCTGTGGGAAGGGGCAGGACTGGGTCCGCTAGGGCAAGACACAGTGCATGGTCTTGTGGCAGCCAGATCAGGTTGGAGCAGGTATATCTATACAAAGCCATCAGTGCTGAGGGCAGGCCACAGGAGGTCTTGGTATGTTTCCCGGGAAAGGTGACGTTCGTGAGAAGCAGGAAAAGCAAGTGTGGGAAATCAGGGCCAGCGTTATTGAAAGGGGAGAACAGGCATTTCAGAGGCAGTGGAAGGAGACATGTGCAGAGGCAAAGAGGCTTGCAAGAGCGAGGCATGTCGGGGTTTCTCAACACGGGAAATTTCCAGCTGCTGTTAGGGACACCTCCTGCATTGCATCTCAAGCCTTCGCCATCTGAGCTGGATCTCAAGAGCACTGAGTTTCGGGTCCCTACCAAGTCACTGTGAATATAACTTCACTTACAATTCCCATCATGGAGTCTAAGGAAGAGATGACAGGAGGCATTCATAAGATGTGCAGCCCTTATAGAACTACTGGATGTCGTCCTCACTGGTTAGGTACTATTAGGATTCCTATGTTAAAATGAACACAAATGGCCATAGAGTCACAGGGAGGCTGGCACCTTGTCCAAGGTCACACCGGGGAGCTGTGGACCTTGGATCTAACACAGGCAATCTGACTCCTGGCTCTCAACTCTTAGCCTAGGTGCTGTGCTGCTGGAGACTGAATGCCCAGTCATGACTAGAAAAAAACATAAACAAAAACAAAAAACACAAAGACTGTGCTTTCTCTCATTTATGGAGAGCTGTGTAATGGTGATGATGTCACACTGTGTGTCAGCAGGTCACAGACCACTGCAGCTCCCTGGCCTGCCTGCAAGGATGCCCTGGCTGCCCAGTTCTGAGTGAGGGACTGCCTTGGCTGCGGTTCCCTGCCAAAGGTCTAGCCACTTGCAGGGAGGGTATCTGAGGTTCCAGTTACTTACATCCAGCAATCCTGATGGATCACGAGGAGGCCATTGAGTTCATATTGAGCTCAACTTTTCCTTCTGATTCATCCCGCTTCCTGCCCCTCTGCCCTAGATGTTGATACCTCCACATTTCTTAAGGATCAGCACACTCACTCAGAGCCTGTGATCTAAGAACCTGTTACAGATTAAAAACTGGTGGTCAACTTAATGCCAGTGTAACTAAATCATCATGGTCCTGAGCGTAGATGTTCCACCTGAGAAAAGTTGCCAGCATAAAGAGAGACATGGAGAAGGAGGCGTTGAGGAATTCTGGATTCTATGTGTTGCTGTTTGAGCCATTGGTTCTCCTGGAGAAGCTCTGGTCCTTACATCGCTTGCTGGCTCCAGAGGGGAAGATGTGTGCTACTTAATCTCTAGGATGAACTCGCCATGCTGGCTTCCTGGCATATACTTGACTGTGCTTACTGTCAGAGGATCTTGGGGCCTCTATGTCGCTGAGGATGGCTGTGGTGCTTTACAGAACAGCCCAGGTCTTTTTTTGAGTGTGACTTCTTGGCTCCAGTGTAGAACCCTCAACTTACCAGCATAGCTCCTTCACCCTGCTGGCATATACTTTCTAGCTTCCACAGCTGACCTTTGGGCCTTCCCAGTGCAGATCCATAAAAAAGACTGGCGTGAGTCCTTCTCGTGGGCTCTAGACCTCCAGTTGGACTCATGAGAGACTGGGTCTTCATCTGGACTCATGTGGGACATTGCTGTGGGATTCAGGCCCTTGGCTGAATATTCTATGTCTTTGGTATTGTGGGTAGATTTTCTGCATTTTCTTGTGTTAACTCTGGGTGACCATCATAAAGTAATATTATAAACCCCATATCCTGACTCTAATTGTTCTCTGCCCCACCCCTGACTACATCAGAACCCGATCTATGACACCAGTTCTATCCACCAGAGCTCTGTGTCCTCTCCGTCTCATTTGTGACTTCCTTTCACATTGGTTTCCTCTGGTTTTTCATGCTCCAGATTAAGTAACTGTGAACAAAAGTTTATACAGTTTTCAAGAAGCGGCTATATAAAGCCTCAATACTCCCCTCTTGTTTTAGTAGACTCTGGTCTTCAGCGCAGTTTCAGGTTCACACAACTGACAGGTGGTATAGAGAGTTTGCCTATACTCCCGCCCCATTTCGGCCTCCTTTGCTCTCAACCTCAATTCCCTAGGTTCTGGCAGTAGATGGAGATTGTGGGAGACCCCTTTACAAACAAAACTCCCATTAGAATGGTTTGCATGCATTAGTCATTGCTTTTATCTGTGACCCCGGGAGGGAACTCAGGGCCTTGCCCATGCTAGGGCGCTCTCTTAACACTGAGCTGTATCCCCAGCTCCACCCTCCGCCTTGTTTATTAGTAGAGGCTATTTTTAATATCTGAGTAGTTGAAAGACTTGGTTCTACTAGTCTTGTAGCTTTGGGCAGACTCCAACTTGCTGGGCCTCAGTGTCACATATCTGGAGTTAGAAATACAAGTTCAGGAAGGATTTCACTAGATAACACATCCTAACTCCGACCAAAGTCTCTGGTGCTTAATAAGGATTCAGAAAACAGGCATTTTTGTATAAACAAGCACAGGACTTCATATTTTTGTTTTCTGTGGCTTCAGTACCACATTGCTACAACTTGGTAGATCAAAACAGTAGAAGTTTAGTCTCACACTCCCAATTTTCATGCTTCTGGCTTCAGATGTCAGAGTTCAGTTCACCAGTCTAAAAATCAAGGTTCTCAAGGAAAATCCTTTCCTGACTTACAGCTCCTGCCTGCTGCTTGCTTCCTTGACTTGGGGCCACATCACTCCCAGTCTCGTCCCCTCCCTGTGTGTCAGATCTGTCTGTTTCTCTGGAAAAAGATACACGTGGCTGAGGGGGAGCTGACCCTGCCAACCTAGAATAATCTAGATGCAAGACCCTTAATTTAACTATGTTTCCAAGATCCCGCTTTTTTTTTTAATCAGGAAACGTTTATCAGAGCCAGGGATAAGAACCTCTTACCTTGGGGTGGGGCATTTTTCAGCCTGCTGAGCCTTTGGTTCCTGTCCTGTGTTAAGGAACAGTTCTAAATATTTTACTTGGCTACCACTTACTTAAACAGTCCCCTGTCTCTTCCACTTCATCATTAAAAATATCTGTTCTAAGAATCTTTATTCTCTACTCACAAGAGGGACAGTGACCGAGGAAGGGATTGGGTACCTTAAAAGTCTCAAAAGGAGATCCACTTATTGTTTGTGCGGCATCTTTCCAATGTTTTAATTAACTGTGGGTGCCTTCAATTTACATTTTCCAGACATCTGTCTCATTCAGGAGATTGGACCATGTCTGGGAATTCGAGTTTCTCCATGCCCCAGGGGATCCTTATCCTCAGCCAAGACTTGGATATACCAATTTCTCCTAGGAAGCCCCCCACCCCTTAGAGGGTAGCCCCTTTCTGCCTGCCGCGTGAGTGTCATCAGGACATGACTGATTCTTTTTTTTTTTTTTTTTAATTGGAAGGATGAGGCAAACAAAAAAGGGCAACCCTGGAAAGTGAGCAATCCTCTCCGTACAGTATTCGCTGAAAGAGCTCCCTCGCGGGAAAGCTTCCAATCCCGAATTAAACAGCGGATGACGACCGCCCGGATTTGGCAATCCTGCGAGGGAGCTCGTGGGTCTGACCCGCGAAGCCCGACCGCGCCCCTCGGCTATAGGAGCTTCCGCTAGGGGGGCGCGCAGTGGCGACCAGGACACGCCGGACCCCGCCAGGTGTTCACAGAGGTCCGCGGGCGTCGGGGGCTGCGGGAGAGTGGGCTTCTGACCCCTCCCACTCCGCCCCCAGCGAGCCGCAGCCACTCCCGAGTGGCGCGGGTAGGGGTGTGGGGAGGCGCAGGTCTATTTATTCTGGCCTGAACGCCGGCTGCTGGGGCTGCTCCCAGCTACCGGCCGTCCTGCCCGGAGCCCCAGAGCAGGCTGCTTCTGCCAGAGGGCTGAGGACCCAGCGCTTGCGGCTGGCCGGGTGAGGGCAGCCGTGGTGCGGGGACCCGAAGCCTAGAAAATTTCGTGGGGACGTGGAAGTTCCTTTGCGGATGAGGGGACGCGGAGGAGCTGCTCCTAGTCGGGGTCCCTGGGCCGGAGTGTCTGTCTCAGGGGTGATGGGCGAGGGAGGTCAGGTCTACCCCCGGGGGCGGGGGGCTCCCCCGGGTGGAGGTGGCGGTGGGGTGCGGGCGCACGCTCAGGTTTAGCCACAGCTGACGGGGCAGCAGGATCGGGCTCAGCGCGGGGTGCCGAGAGGGGCAGGACAGGACAGCGTTCGGCCAGGCCGGGTGCGCGCCGCCGGCATCGGGAGAACCGTGCACCGCAGCCCGGCACTGTTCCGGCCCGCAGCCTCCGCTCGCCGCCAGCTGAGGTGGTGGGCGGAGCCATGCGTGACCCCGCCTCCGCCGGACGCGGCTCCGCGCCCGGCCGCCCGCCCAATCTGCAGCCCGGGCCCGCAGCGGCAGAGCCGGGTGGTTCGTCTGGCCGGTGGAGGCTGAACGCGACCGTCGCGACCCGCGGCACCCGCCGACCGGAGACCAGCGCCACCCGGGGACGCGCTCCGCTTGGCGCCGCCGCCGCCTCCGCCCCATTGCCTCGGGGCCGCTGGGGCCCGCGCCACCCCGGCCGCGATTCTCCTCCTCTTCCTCCGGGCGAGGAGGGAACGCGAGAGCCGAGCCGAGGCCCCTGCCGCCGGGCTCGGGCTGGCGGAGGCGGAGGGACGCGCGCGGCCCCCGAGGAGCGCGGCTCAGCTCTCTGCGGCCGTGGCCGGCGCCGGGGCTCGCGCTGCCGCTGCGATGGCGAGGAGATCGGGCCCCGGGCGCTCCGGCAGCGCCGCCCGCGCCCCCGGGACCACCGAGTAGGCACCTGAGCCGAGCGCGCCGCCGCCCAGGGGGAGGGGAAGGTAAGCGGCGAGGTCGCCCGCGGGCCGGGCTCCGCCTCCTCGGCCGTCCCGGGGGCACCGCCAGGGCGCCGACCCCGCCTGGCGCACCTTGGCTCTCCGCGGGGGAGGCCTGGCCCGCCGGGTGCTGCGCCCGCTCGCGCGCAGGGGGAGCCCCCGCCGGCCCGCGCCCCGAGGTCGGCGCAGGGCTGCTCGCGGGCCGGGTCCTGCTGTCTGTTTCTCCGTCGCTCCTCTCAGTACGCTTACGGGGACGGGAACAATGGACCTTTGAAAGTCGGTGTGTACAGCTTAAACTTTCTGGGGAGGGCTGGGGCGAGGGAGTAAACCGCACAGGAAGCCGGCTGCGGCGAAAGGTGGGTGCAGCGTGCGCGGAGGAGCCCTGTCTTCGGGGCGCGCGCTTCCACTCTGGGTGGGGGGATCTTTGTTTCTGACGGGTCCCCTGGGCTGGCAAGTCCTACCCTGCTCACCTTACTTTATCTAAAAGGAGGCGAGGTTGCAAAATCGTGTGCAGCCTTCTGTAAAGCAGGGGCGTCAGCTCCGGACCTGCACTCAGCTTTGCGTTGTAGAGGTGGGGAGATCCTGGGAGAGGAGGGGGCCCTTGCTGTGAGGACCCAAGGTGGGGTAGGGCATGCTGCGCAGTAACTACACCCTCGGTGATGAAGCCGAGGTCCTTACTTCCCTGGGTACTCTGCTGAGGGTTGCTGTGTGTCACCAGACCTCTCCGCGGGGCGGAAACAGCTCACTTAAAGTCCCCATAAGGTTGGGAAAACAGACTTTGATATATGCCAGCTTTCCTCAGCAGCTGAGGGTCAGGATGTAGAGCGTCTGATAGTTTTCGGAACTTTTATTTAGCTCCCGAGCCACTCACTGCGTTGAGTTCACGCCCCTTGTGCTAGCGAGGCGACCGGAGGCAGCCAGCTTGTGCAGTTGCACGTGTTGAGTGTGTGCAGAGGTCTTGTGAGTGAGTCCAGTGTAAAATAAAAACAATTTCCAGAACGAGGGAGGAGAGGTATCATCTGAGTAGAGGGCTGACTGAATTCCCAGGGTAGCCAGGCGTACTCTTTGGAAATGGCCACTCAAAACAAAAACATGTAAAACAGTTTGCCCTATGGGTGGATAGCATAGAGTTCCTGAGTTTTTATTTGATCTGTGAAAAAACTTACTGTTTCAGAGTTTGTCTGGGCAGCACAGTCTGCTTGTGTTGTCTGTCCAAGGGTTTTTCTGAGTTTGCATTTCCAGGCAGAGCACGACTGTGTGCAGCAGACACGACCTCTACTTAGAAAACTGTCACTTGATGGTGTTGTATCCATTTTGTATGTTGAAATCACGCCCCTCAAATATCCGTATGTGAACTAGAGGGTGAGTAAACAGGCTTTCACCTCCGTCTAGCGCATGCTGTTTTATCTGATGAGTGGGTATCTGCATGTGAGAAAACTAGCTTAGAAGTAGTACTGAATCATCTCACCTGTTTGTCAGCTCTCCATGGGACATTTAGCTGAGGACTGGCTCTTTGTGTGAGAGAGGGAGTGAGTGTGTGTGTGTGTGTGTGTGTGTGTGTATTGGGGGACTGAATCTGTAAATTGCTACATGGTGCTTTTGTGGAGTTCCTGAATCATAGTTAATTGACTTCTTGATCTAGCCAGTAACTGGTGGAGTTTTTAAAGCCTCAGATTCACAGCAGGGAACATGAGTGGTGCTATCTTTGCTTTCATGTACTGGTAGACTCAATCAAGCCTGTCCTCAAGCAGGTCCCTAGAAAATGAGAAGACAGAAATGGGCAGAGTACATTGTGGGTCATTTCGAAGTTGAAAGGTCACTGCATACTAGCTGTGGGCAAGTTTTTGAAGTTGAGAAAGATGAACCACACTTCAGAAAGAGAAAATATAATAATCATAGTTGAATTTACAGTTTGAGGCTCCCAGTTTAAATGCTATATATAAATATTTGTGACAAAGTGCTTTAGAGTATTTATGAATGTTATATCATTAATCCATCCACTCACCATCTTATCTATTGACCTAACCTTTATGAATCACCTGTTGTGTTCCAGAGGCCCGGGAAGGAATTTTCACCATATGTTTTGTGCACTGTTTTGTTGGTAGACAAAGGCAGTTGAATGGAGAGTTTGAGGGTTTGCAGCTTGGTGGCTGTGGGAATGAGAAAGACACACTCTTCTGTGGAAATGAGTCTGGGAAGCCAGAAAGGAAATTGACAATTAGGAGTCCAGGAAATTGACAATTAGGAGTCCAGTACTGGTGGGAGTGGTCAGGAGAACCATTAGGCATAAGACTTTTTAAGAAGCCTGGAGAGGAAGTGATTGGGGGTGGGGTGGCAGAGGAGTTTTTGGGGAAAAAAACCCATATTTTTGTTGGCATACTAGTGATTGGATCCATCATGATAGGCAAGTGCGCTACCACTGAGCTATGTCCCTAGCCTAAAAAATAAATACAATTTATTAAATCAGACAAAATAGTGGAGACTGAAAACTGGTGCCATGGGCATCATTTTAAAGTGTAAAGACTTAAGTGTAAAGGGTTTAGAACAAGTCTCTGATAAATGCTAATCGTTTGTGGTTGGCAAATCCTCTCCTTTTATTCTTCTGTAAAATAAGTTTTTAAAGACTTTATGGACCATTCTGAAGATTTAATTCAATTTAAATTTACTGTGTATGTGACAGATTTACTATGTAGCTACAGCTGTCTGGTATGAAAAGGTATTTCAAGATGTGTGTGTGTTTTAAAACTATTATAACTAGTTAACTGTAACTCTCAATTAACCAGTTGATCTCAGCAATAGATTCCCATTCTTTCCAGAATGTTCTGAACCCCATCATGGGAGCCCAGTCTTTGGTCTTCAGGCTAGCTGTTGAAATGTGGTATTCCCCACTTGTCTAACCGCTGGAAAGCTTTTCATTCCGTTTGGATTGTGACATTAATTAGATGGGAGACTGGCTCTTACAGTAAGTCATTGGAGAAGGGCTTGTCTGAGTTTGTACCCTCATTTCCGTCCTCATCTCCAGGCCTCCCAAGCCATGCTGATGCTTCTCCCCTCTTTCATCCTACCAAGGTGGAAATGGGGAAGAAAAAAGAAAAGAAAACTTTCCGGTTGTCTCCATTTGTAAACAGAAATGGAGTAATTTTTAAGCAGACTGTTGAGGAAAGGCTGTTCTCACACCACCAACAGCTGCTGTCTGGGTGAAACTTGAATCTGTAAGCTTGCTTTTAGTTCTCCATTTGAAATGGACTTAAGCTTATCTGACATCTTAATAAATTGTCTTTGGTAGAAATCACAACTCAGCTATTTAAAGCTATCAAATTAAATGTGACTTCTTTGGTGAGAGGAGGTAAATTCTGTATAAATGTTTTCTGGATGGGGCTCTATATACTGAATCGTAGCATGTAGTTACAAGGAATCTTAAAAATACTGTTTAAACAAGGAAGCTCAGACCCAGAGAGGCTAGCTAATCAATCAGTTAAGATCACATAGTAAATTAATGACTGAGCTGGGACAAGAACTCCTGTGTCCTTTCCCTGCAACACCCCGTATATATTCTTGTTTATTGCAGTTTGGCTTGGTTAACAGTTGCTATTTTAATTGTCAAATAGTTCATATTTGAGTATAGACCCAATTTAAGGCGAGTAGTATGTCTTTTCATTTCCCAATTCTTACTCATGAGATTTTGCACAAATTGGGTGATGTTACTTGTAATGGATTTCTATAAGATAAGGAACTAAGAATAAGAATAATGTTAGCTTTAGTTGCATTTTCTATTTAAAAAAAAAGACAGATCTGAAACATTATACCAGAACATACTTTTTCAAAGAAGCAAGTTCCTGGGAACATCAGATTTGTCTTGTGAATCATCACATAAAAGCATACAAGGAGTAGTTTGTAGGTTCTTTTGTTTTCCCTGCACTTGCTTTGGGAAGCCTTTAGTGTTGGTTTTCAGGAAGTAGGTTCAGCAAAAATTTTGTTCCATTTCTGTGTGTACAGAGCAGTGCTGGTTGCTCTGCAGCCTCAAGATAAATGAGGCGTAGGGTCTGTCTTAAATTAGCTTTCTTAAAAAATGAAAATTTGGAAGC